CTTAAGTCCTACCACCACTCGGGAATCTCCAAGCTGTCTGTGCTGTCAGGATCGCTCACGACTGCTGCCAGACCGCAGCTCCGTATGTCTCCTTTTTTTGTATTTTCATGCAAATTCTTCTGCTAGTTGGGGTTTAGTCCACTTCTATATCCTTCCCTTCAAGGCTCAGGGGTCCAGGATTATCTTCTGTGTCTGTGTTAATTGGTTTCCCTTTTCTTTGTTGAAGAGGGTCTGTGCAGTCTTTCTGCCTATTTCGCCATCTTGCCGAAACTCACATCAATGAATTTTAATCCCATTTGAAGCAACTGATAAAACACATTTTACAAGAATAAACAAAGGTGTTAAGAGTTTAGCAGAGGGAGGGATGGTCTTCCATTGGGATGAATAGATAAAGATGGAATTTGAGATGGGTGCAAAATATGGATGGATTTTGACAGAAGTGAAGAATTCTGGTAACTAAATGAAGTAACATGACAACAGTACTTTTGTTTACAAATATTTCTTAAAGCCCTGACAGGCTCAAGGTCCTGTACTTGGTACTGTGGGGGCTATTACGATGAACTATATATATTAACAGCTACTCTAGTATAGAGAAGACTAGCCTACAAAGGAGCCCTTGTGGCTCAATGGTTAAGTGCTCAGCTGCTAACTGAAAGGTTAGCAGTTTGAACTCACCAGCAACTCCATGGGAAAAAAGACCTGGTGACTTGCTCCTGTAACGATTATAGCCTAGGATGAACTATTAGGTATGTCTATGCAGGGGGGAGTGTGCCCAAGACCATGTATAAGGTTGGCAGACAATGTTTCTACAAGTATATTACCAAATTCTGTAAGAATTACCAAGTATATAGTACAGCTGACAAGGGACAAGGTTGTAGTCACTTCTTAGGCACAGCCAGCTACCCAGAGGGAGTGAGTAGTTGGACCTGGAGTCTCAGGACCATAGTCACAGGGGACATCAAGCTCAATTGGCATAACATACTACACAAAACATTGTTCCACCTCCTACATTGGTGAATAGCAACTGGCATCTTAAGAGCTTACAAGCAGCCATCTAGACACAATAATGGGTCTCTCCTAATCCACAGCAAAGAAGTATGAGGAAAACCAAAGGTTCATGGAAACAATTAGTCCAAGCAACTGCTACGCCATGCGTTCCTCAGCCTATATGACTATGAGACCAGAAGAACTAGATGGTATCTGGCTACCACTGTCAACCACTTGGAGGGGGATCTATGTAGGAGATCCTGGATAGAATGGAAGAACAACGTGGGACAAAAGTAAAAAACATTTGAAAAAAAAAAAAAAAAGGGACCAGGTTTGCTGGTTTGATAGAGCCTGACAGAACCACTGAGACTGGCCCGTAGCTGCCCTTCAGGTCTGGAACTGAACCCACACATGTGGCTTTCAGCCAAACAAGAAACAGGCATATGAAGTGAACATGTACACTAGGTACATACACTCCTTGGAGAGAACAATCATGGGAGAATAGAAGGGCTGTGTATGCACAGGGAGACAGCTCAGGGGGCAGGAATGCATGGAGGGAAGGACATAAGGAAAAGGTAACTATGGGGAGGAAGTGGGAAGGGAATTGTTCCATTGTGGTAAATTGTAGTCAATATCATAAGACAAAGTGTATGTGAACTGCTGTATGGAAAGTGAATTTGCTCTGTAAACTTTCACCCAAATCACACACACACACACACACACACACACACAAAGATTATAGCCTAGGAAACTGTATGTATCTTTTTACTCTGCCACATTGGGTTGCTATGAGTGGGTATTGACTGGATGGGACACAACCACCACCACAACCCTACAAAGTGTAAAGCTGTCAGTGCCACAACTTAGTTGAAGCTGGGTTGATAGTTTAAGAGGGGCTGAAAGGGGACATCTAAAAGTTTTTTTCAGTTCCCTTCATACCATTAATTCATCTGACCTTGGAGACTTAATCCCATTTTTTTTTTAAGTTAAACTATTCTTTTGCAACTTTCTTTTCAGAATTAAGAACCCTGGTGATGCAGTGGCTTGATGCTTGACTGCTAACCAGAAAGTCAGTACTTTGAACTTACCAGCTGCTCTGTGGGAGAAAGCTGTGACAGACTGCTTCTATAAAAGATTTGCAGCCTTGGAAACCCTATAGGGGGGGCAGCTGTACTCTGTCCTATAGGTCACTATGAGTCAAAATCGACAGATTTGCTTCGGTGCCTCAGAATTACTTGTCAGGGTTTGTTGTGCCCCTTCCAACTTGAATGTCTGTCTCTTTTATCATAAGATTGAGGCAATTTAGGAGCCTAATGACTGAAATCATTTTCAGTACACACCAAATGTCATCTAGGGAGGTTCTACTTAGGTCTTACTTGCTCTGAATATTCTTTAAAGAATCCTTTGTTGTGTTTACTATAGTTGTAAAATCCACTTGACTCTGGCTGTTAGCCTTTTTCAGAGTACCCTTATAGAGGGAGGCCAAGGAAAGAGCTGCATTCACAACTTGTGACGCTGTACACTGTGTGAGTTGCCTCTCAGAATGACCCTGAAGGATGGGATATCTTATCTGTGTTTAAGAGTTATGGAAACTCTGATGCTCTAAGAGAATCCTTTATCCAAGGCCTCGGAGCTCTTATGCTGTGGACCTTGGATTTCAAAACTGCTATTTCTGACCTCAAAGCCCATGTTCTTTTCCCCCACAATGTATTAATTAACCATGATAAAGTATATTTTAAAAGTCATCCTTCTGGGTTTTTTAAGAATTTTAAAAATATCAGTTCATCTAAAAAAGCTTTCTGTTAAGTCTCATGGATTCCATGTACTCAACTCACATTTATTTGACAGCCAAGGCCTAGGATTATTATCTGTCTTCTCTAGCATTCCTAGTTTTATTATTATAATAATCATTTATAATTTTACAGGCATAATTAGTTCTCATAAGAGTTGACGTATTTGAATTGTGGTATTGACGAAGAATACTGAATATACCATGGACTTCCAGAAAAACAGACAAATCTGTCTTGGATGACACACAGCTGAAACATTCCTTAGAAGCAAGGATGGCAAGATTCTGCCTCTCTTACTTTGGTCATGTTATCAGGAGGGGCCAGTCCTGGAGAAGGATATCATGCTTGGTAAAGTAGAGGGTCTGTGAAAAAGAGGAAGACCCTCAATGAGATGGATTGACACAGTGACTGCAACAATGGGCTCAAGCATAGCAATGATAGTGAGGGTGGCACAGGACCAGGCAGTGTTGGTATGAGGAACCAACTCTATGGCACCTAATAACAATTAGTTCTAAAAATAATGAAATTTCTAAAATTTACTTCCTACTATCTTTGACAATGCCCAGAATTCCCCTCCTCCCCAATTTTTACTCCAAGATGACAAAACCCCACTGCCAGCGACTTGATTCCGACTCCTAACGACTTTATAGCACAGGACTGCCCCATAAGGTTTCTGAGGCTGTAAATCTTGGTGAAAACAGAATGCCACATCTTTCTCCCCAAAGCGGCAGGTGGATTCAAACTGCCGACCTTTTGACTACCCGCCAAGCGCTTTAGCCACTGTGTCACCAGGGCTCCTTCCTAGATGATGGACTCTCCTAAACTGTTTGACGGGGATGTGGGACGTGCAAAACAGAAGAAAATGGTTTAGATAACTGGAGTTTGTTTTACTGTATCTTTTCGTCAAACTAGCTTTTAACCTTGCTGAATAAAACAGCAAGGTTAAGTAAGATAACATATCCCTGAGGTCAATAGGTAAAAGCAAAAAAGCGCTAGCCCCGCCCCCTAGGAGGCGTGGGATAGGACCGGGGGAGGGGCTTAAGGATAGTACATGAGTCACTAATGAATTTATAGGTCACCCGGAAGAAGCGCAGAGTCCTCCGAGTCCAAGGCTGAGTAGGACGCGCGCGCAGGCTCGCCTAGCCAGAGCCGGAGCCCCTCGCACCCCTGCAGAGGCTTCAGGCGTCAGGCGCCGGCGCAGTGCATCCGCTCGCAGTCGGGGCCTCTCGCTGCCGGTGCTCTCGGGCCTGCGTAGCATCCGTTAGTTACCCAACCCACAGGCTATGGCCGCTGCGAGGGGCGCCCGGCTCCTGCGCGCCGCTTCAGTGGCTCTCGGCGGCGCGGCTTGCCGGCGGCTACTTCTTCTCGGGCCCCGGGCGGGAGCCGGGGGGCTCCTGGGGAGCTGGGGGCCGGGCAGGAGCGTGGATCTGGGCCAAGGCTGCGGCGCACGCACGAACCGGTCGCTGAGTTTGTCGGCGCCGGCGCAGAACAGGTGAGGCACGGGCCTGGTCGCGAGCGCGCTGCGGGTGGGGGTCCCTCCGCCACTTTCACCTTCCACAAAGGATAGCCCGCCTCCTGCTCCGCCTTTTCCGTTTCGCCGCTGCGTACTCCAGCTGCGTTTTGTCACGTTGCAGTTACCTTCCTGAGCCACCAAGGATTTGGCATATCCCTTTCCCAGCGTTTCCTGTACCTTTATATTTGTTCTGCCTGGACCCTTCATAATATGCTTCCCATGCTGCCCTGGAACCTTATACTAATGCCAGCCATTTCTTCTTCTTGCTATTTACGACACAATCCCCAATTCTTGACCAGGGAAAAGTCCATTTAGAATACACTCAGTTAATCCCCTATGCTTCCCTGTAATTTCTCTTCTAGTTGGTGTGGAGTTAAAAATCTGCATTGTACTTGGCAAGTCAGGGTTTTAAACTGGTCTTTGACACTTACTGTCGAATTTGCCTAATCTCTGTAAACCTCAGTTTTCCCAATACTATTAATAACAGTATAGACCTCACCGGGTTGTTTGAAGATGGAGATAATACTAATAAAGTGCTTTGTCGTGTGCCTGGCAAGATACGTTTAACCAGCAGCAGCTTCTTATACACAGTATTAAGAGTTGTTTTTTAAATTAAACGTTGAAAGAAATGGGGAAAATTTCCCTCAGAATATGTTTAAGTTTTACATTGAGTATATTTGTTCTTCAAAAGCAAAATCCCATTAGATTTAATAAAGAAAAGCTTTACTTACAATTTCAGGTATAATAACCTGGTGGAGACTTTCACAATGCAGATCTCTGAGCAGATCTTTGACACCGTTTTGTAGCAGGAAGCAAGAACGGGAGTGGGGGAGAGTGGTTGTGATTTATATGTTGTCTTTATGATTTCTCCTTGATAAGGCCCTCTAGAATATGGCCCAGGATTTATTCATCTTTGCTCCCCCAGTGTTATTATCTCGAGGTACTCAGTGAATTTATGTTGCATGCACTGTGAGGGAGATAATGGAGAAGACAAGCTAGATTGATTTGTCGCTATTTCCCCCGCAGAAGTCCCTGGCTGGTGGAAATGATTAAGTGCTCAGCAGTTCTAACTCACCCCAAGGTGCCTCTGAAGACACAGCCTTGAAAACCTTGTGTACACAGTTCTACTCTGTAACACATGAGGTCACCATGAGTCGGAATGGACTCAGCAGCAGCTGATACTTCCCTTGCATTTTCCTGCTTTTGATCCATTTCTGCATAGATGCCTTGCTTTATACAATGGATGCATTTTTACAAAGTTGTGTACAAATTGGGACATACATTGAACATGTTTGTGTAACTAGTACTTAGAGACATATAAATGATTTTGTAAATGGAAGTTTTCACTCACTCTCACTCACTGCCATCGAGTCCAATCTGACTAATGGTGACCTCTCCTTGGGTTTCCAAGGTGGTATCACTACGGAAGTAGATTGCCCAGTCTTCCTTGCGAGGAGTGGCTGGTGTGTTTGAACCACCAGCGTTCTAGCTAGCAGTCAAATGCATTAGACACCTTTCGCCACCAGAACTTCTAAATGGAAATTATCTCCCTCAAATTTGTTAAGTTTGGATTTGAATATGTTGAAGTGTCTCTCTTCTATTTCTACTTGATGGCCTGTACCGTCATGTCACAGACTTCAGATCTACAACTAGACTTTCCAGCTCTTGAGATCTGTGTTGTCCAGTATGGTAGCCACTAGCCACATGTAGTTATTTAAATTAAAAAAAAGTTACATAAATTTAAAGATGCATTTTCCCATTTGCACAAGCCAATTTCAGATACTCATTAGTCACCTGTGGCTAGTGGCTACTGTATTGGACAACACAAGTTAGAATATTACAGCTGTTGCACAAAGTTTGATTGGACAGCACCATTTTAGAAACTGTTATTTTCACTATGGGGTATAACATTTTGATAAATGATCAGTAACTGAGTCAAAAATAATTATACTCCAAAATACCTGGATACAGTACTTTGTATTTTATGGTAATTTAGGTTGCAGAGGGCTTTCATGCATATTATTTCACCCAACTCCTAAGACAGTCCTATGAGGTAGGCTCAGGTGGTGTAGTCGTTAACATATTCGGCTGTTAACCAAAAGATTGGTAGTTTGAACCCATCAGCTTCTAGAGAGAAAGATAAGGTGGTCTGCTGCCATAAAGATTTAAAGCCTTGGAAAGCCTATGGGGCAGTTCTACTCTGTCCTACAGGGTCACTGTGAGTTGGAATCTGCTCATTGGCAATGGGTTTGGTTTTTGAGGTAGGCAAAATAGGTAAATGGAAAGAAAATTTAGTAGTTGGCAAAAGTAGGACTATAATTCCAGAATGTTTTGTTTGTTTTTTGATTGCCAAAGGTTGGGCAATCTACTTCCATAGTGATACCGCCTTGGAAACCCAAGGAGGGGGTCACTGTGAGTTGGGTCCGACTTGATGGCACATAACAACAACAAAGGAGCCCTGGTGGCACAGTTGTGTGGTGGTTAAGTTTTTATGTCAGCTTGGCTGAGCCTGGTTGAGTGGCTGGGCAGCTGGTGGTAGTTATTCCCCATGATGAGACTGGCAGTCAGCTCCATGGTGGGTCGGTCCTACCACAAGCAGCTGGAGTAGCTGCTTAGGGATGTGGTCTGTTTTCCGTATATAAGAAATAGCTTTTGGAGTGGTCTCTAACTTATGGTGCGCTTGAACCCTCCATGTAGTCAGGTCGTTGCTCAGCAGTCTGCCATGCTCTGTGGACCTTGGGGCTTGAAGTGGACTTGAATGGCCTACCGTGTGGTTTGGTAACATCGGGACTGTGCCTTTTTGCTTGTCAGCCTCAGCAGCCAGCAGCTGAGTAAAGAAAAGCCTCCATCTTCAGTGGGCCAGGAGCAGGAGGCAGAGCTGAAGCCCCAGGTTGAGGGGCTTTTACCCAGCCCCTAGAGCCTGGCACTCTGAACTCATATTTAACGCCTCCAAATTGTGAGATTAAATTCCTGTTTGTTAAAGCCATCCCGTTTGTCGTATATTCTTGTTGGAGTGGCACTAGGTAAGGAAAACAGTTGGTGATTCGAGCACATTGAAGACCCTCGGAAGACCTGGTGACCTGCTTCAGAAAGGTCACATCCATAAGAATCTTATGGAGTGCAGTTCTACTGCAACACATGGGGTTGCTATGAGTCAGAATCGACTACTGCAACTGGTTTGGCCTTTGGTGTTAACAATTGGTATTGGTGGGTTTTGTAGACTTTTCCTCCCCAATTCTAAAAATTAGCAAAAAGTGTTTTGCTGTTCCCAAGAAGGCTAAGATTTCATGCACTAAGAAATAAATAGGATCTTTCTAAATCCTCTTTCATCATTAATTAATCAACCATCACAACAAACAACTATTTTCTTCATTTATTACCCCTTACTCACTGCATTTATTCAACCCTGCCATGAGAGAGATTTTTTAACAAAGCTGTCAGGGTGCTGTTGGTTAACTTCTTAGGTTTCTAATGGGAGGGAGGTTCTAGTTGCTGATGCCCCTCCCCACCCCACCCCCTTTTACTGTATAGGGTAACCTGGGGCGGTCATTGCAATAAAAGGGCCCTACTTCCTGCAGCCAACTTAATTCTTCAAAATGATTCACTAAACTGTGGGCTAAAGAATTATCAGAGGAAACCTGATAGTGCAGTGGTTAAAGTTCTTGGCTTCAAACCAAAAGGTTGGCAATCTGAAAGCACCAGCTGCTCCATGGGAGAAAGTTGAGGCAGTCTGCTTCCATAAAGATTATAGCCTTGGAAACCCTATGGGGCAGTTCTACTCTGTCCTACAGGGTTGCTATGACCCAGTGCCAGTGGGTAAAGATTTATCAACTTTTGTTGTTTTGTGCTATTCAGTCATCTTTGACTCATAAACCAAACCAAATTCTTTTTCATTGAGTGGATTCCAAGTCAGTGACCCTGTATGACAGAATTGGAGCTCTAGTGGCATAGTAGATAAGGCAATCAGCTGCTAACGCCAAGGCTGGTGATTCAAACCCACCAGCTGCTTCTTGGAAGGAAAATGACGTAATCTACTTCTGTCAAGATTTCTCACTGCCGTCAAGTCGATTTGACCCATAGCGACCCCTCCTGGAGTTTTTGAGGCAGTATCTCTATGGTAGTGGCTTGCCCAACTTTCCTTCTGAGGAGTGGCTGGTGGATTTGAAGCACCAGCCTTCTGGTTAGTAGTCAGATGCCTCAGGCACTACACCACCAGCCTTGGAAACCCAGTGTGGGTCGCTATGAATCAGAATCAACTCGAAAGCAGCAGGTTTGGTTTTTTTGGTTTTAATCTTCACAGAGTAGATCACCAAGTCTTTTCTCCCATGGAGTGCAGGAGGGATCCAACCGCTGACCTTTCAGTTAGCAGCTGAGTGCTTAACAACTGTTTTGGGTACCTAATGCCGCTCTGACAGGACTATAACCACAAATGGGATGGCTTGAACAAACAGGAGTTTATTCTCTCACAGTTTGGAGGCTTTAAATCCAAATTCAAAGTGCCAGGCTCTAGGGGCTGGGTGAAAGCCCTTCAACCTTGGCTTCAGCTCTGCCTCCTGCTTCCGGCCCACTGAAGCTAGAGGCTTTTTCTTCACTCACACAGCTGCTGGCTGCTGAGGCTGACAAGCCCTAGGTTGACAAGGCACAGTCCCAGTGTTACCAAACATGCATTCAAGTGCACTTAACTATTTCCAACACCCAAGGACTTCTTAACTGATTGTTAATAATGAAGGTTTAAAGTTACTTGGTTGCTAACTGAAAGGGAGCTCTAGTAGCGTAGTGCCTAAGGCACTTGACTGTTACCCAGAAGGCTGGCGGTTCAAACCCACCACTCACTCTTCGGAAGGAAGATTGGGCAATCTACTTCTGTAGTGATACTGCCTTGGACACCCAAGGAAGGGTCCCTATGAGTCGGGTCTGACTCGATGGCACATAACAAACAACATAACACAAAAAGTTACTTAGTTAAGCTACATGTGTATAATGCTTTAAGGAACAGTATTTCCACAACTTTCTCTCCTTTAATTCTCTCAGCAGCTGATGAAGACACTATTATCCCCATTGTACCCATAAGTAAGTGGCTTCCCATAGTTATCTAATGAGTATATGCCAGAACTTGAGGCTACAATCTAATGTGTGGTAGTTAAGTTTGTGTGTCAACTTGGCTGGGCCTGGTTGAGTGGCTGGGCAGCTGGTGGTAGTTATTCCCCATGATGAGACTGGCAGTCAGCTCCATGGTGAGATCTGCCACAAGCAGTTGAGTAGCTGCTTTAGGGATGTGCTCTGCTTCTCGTATATAAGCAGCAGCTTTGGGAATGGTCTCTAGTTTATGGCACACTTGAACCCTGCATGTAGCTGTGTCGTTGTTCCGCAGCCTCCCATTCTCTACTGATCTTGGGACTTTCAATGGACTTGAATTAATGGTCTGCCATGTGGTTTGGTAACATCGGGACTGTGCCTTTTTCCTTGTCAACCTTAGGTTTGTCAGTCTCAGCAGCCAGCAGCTGTATGAGTGAAGAAAAGGCTCTAGCTTCAATGGTCCGGGAACAGGAAGCACAGCTTAAGTCAAGGTTGAGGGTCTTTTATCCAGCCCCTAGAGCCTGGCACTTTGAACTCAGACTTAAAGCCTCCAAATTGTGAGAATAAACTCCTGTTTGTTAAAGACATCCCATTTGTGGTACATTCTTGTCAGAGCGCCACTAGGTAACCAAAACACTGTTTTTGACTCTTACGTACCATACTCAATTTTGACTGCAGAATAACCTTTCCTGTTTCATTTATCCTTACTCTCCTAACCTTTGGTAAACCTTTGCTCTTATCCTTTGATTTTTCTAGGGCCATAAACTTTAATACGTAGCGCCTGGGTGGTGCAAACAGTTCATGGCCTTGGTTGCTAACTGAAAGGTTAGAGATTCAAGTCCACCCATGGGCACCTGAGAAGAAAGTCCTGGTGATCTCCTTCCACACAATCAGCCGTTGAGAACCCAGCAGAGCACAGTTCTGCTCTGACATACGCAGGGTTACCATGAAACAGAGTTGACTCAGTGGCAACTGCCAAAAACACTTTAATACCTAGCAGTAGCTCAGGCTCGTAGCAGCAAAAGGTCTGGGGCTTATATTAAAAATAATCAGCATTAGTTCAGCTCTACAATGTTTTAAGCATTTTGCATACATTGTGCAACACTATAGCATAAATATATGTGTAT